CAATGATCATAAAGTAACTATTCGATTGTCTCTGAATCGTCAGAGATATACAAAACACATCGGCTTACTCAAGTTGCTTAAAAAAAAGATCAATTACAAGCTTCATGTGTAGTTTTTTTCAGAAAAACGTGAAATAACTCGTAAAAATTGTGTCAACAGGCAAGAAGTTCCTGCGAATCGTAGAATTACTAACGTTCAGTCAGTAGCTTATAACCAGCAATAGAAGATGTAGTATGCCTAAAAGAAGTGACCGTAAAACGTGACTGAAGGCCTACTTCATTTAATTGTTTAATTAAGCCAATTTAATCTTGCTGTAGGGTCATCGTCGCTCGTTTATCCTGTTATCTGGCAACGCAAATTTGGCAACAGCTATTCCGAAGCTATTGTACTGCTTCCGGGAGCTCACACATTGCCTTTTACAATATATATGATGTAAAATGTAGATCTTCAAGTTTCTTTTGCTTCACTCGGTTTATAACGCAAGATATATAAACACATAATATATATTTATTTCTAGTAAAGAAAAAACTGGTAACTATGCGGTGAAGTATTGCAGTATTAACAGGCACGGCAAATATCCATGAATTTATCTAATCTTTTGCGTATGGAAACAGTGTGGTTATACAGTACCTTTTGAATTTGCAGTTTTTTTTTTATAATGGCATCATTTAGATCGTAATAATTTTAATCAAGCTTTACATTCAACGTTTATCCTATATATATAATATAGAAGTAAAGCCCCAATTGTGTGCTGTCAATTTTATTTTTCACTCTAATTTTGCCTCAGTTCTCGCTACAATTTTCATTAGATAATATTTATTATAAATAGCCAGGGTTTTGCTTGAACATTTGTCTTATTAATATCTCAGCTACGAAACGTGCTCGGTCAAAATGCACTACCGTAATGTAAGAAATGACAACAAGGCGTTGTATGGTATATACAACTTTAAGTAATATGTTAATCCTCGCCAGAAAAAGTAAAGAGCATAGAATAAACAAGTTCTTCGCTCAAATCTTGTTGCGTACGCTAACTTCGATGATAAATATAGCAGTATTTAGACGTTTTTTTTTGCGCGTAAAAATTCGACTGTTCCGAACAAGATACAATTGATTTTTGCTACAAATGTTTCCTTTTAATTGAGGAAGGCTCGTTAGCAGTTAAGCTACCCGCCACCGGACTAAGGACTGTCGGCGACAAAAACTTAGTTGGACCCTAACGGCAGCATAACTTACGCTCTGCTGCATGAAAACTTTTCAGGATATTTATAGCCTACCCTTCCTATTAGACCGCCTATTTCTGTTACCATATAAAAGGATACAAGCCATTAGAACGACTTATGGATGGTTTGAACATTTGATCATCCTGCCCAGCTGAGGTCGTGGTTTAGTGGCAGACGTCAAAGACATGCTCCTTATTGAGTGCCCTATGAGCAGCGATTCTCTTAAACGTTTCTGACAAGATAACTACACCGTCACAATGTGTCTGTTTGATAAATGCTCCACTAGCTTACGTATGCAACCACTCTATGTTAGACCCATTATGTAATACGAACGACTGTTCTGTTGAAAAGAACAAATGTTTTGTCATTCAGATGTTAAATTACTAGTTTTCACAAGAACCCACAAAAAGTATCAATTTTATCTTTCCTGCTATAACACGATGGTGAGCGATCACATCGAAAATCAGGTCTTGCAGAAATTCGTCCGTAACCAGAACTTACTTTAAAGTTCCATCATTTTTGAGCCTCGTAAACGAGGTTAAAGAGTAGGCGTAAGTCGAGCCATTCACTGCTTCCTGACCAGCTATGTTCGATATAGTCATAACGTTCAATGATCGTTACTAAATGACTTTATCTGACGAACAATTCAGAGCATCTGAAACGAGTTGTAAAGATAAATGTGTCCGACAATTAAACTGTTCTCAATAGCGACAAAGCTGCAAGGCACGCTATGGTCATAGGATTGCCATGACCGTGCCATACTCGTCTGTCTTCGTTTTCTACGTATTACTTGTCGTCGTCGTCGTTTCTTGTCTAACTATGCATAGCCGTTCAGCCACCGTTTCAGACACTATTACAGCCCATTTTGTACGGTTATGGAACAAACTTCTGCTACCGTTTTTTTAGCTATTAAGCGTGTCCACTCTCAACCCATTCGTTCGCCGAATTCCGACTACTGACCGTAGGAAAGATTCAGATTATGGTGATGTTGATAGTGATGGCGACGAGAGCGAAAATAAGAGGTAGTGGAAATAGGAAAAGGAGTTAGATAAGCCTCAGCAACAACAACAGCGCTAGCTCCGCTCAGGTACGAGGTAACTGTTCACATACTGGTGAATTGATTAGCTACATTATACTATAATGCTCTTAAATCTGCATACTTTTTGGACTGTCTGGCGAGCAGCTAGCTTCACTGGCAGATACAGATTGGTCAGCTGGTTGCCGTTGCCGTCAGCCGTAATCAACACCGGCGTCAACCTCAACGTCAACTGCAATACCATCAGCCCGTTGCAATCTCCTGGATGAGACGCCAGAAGGCGAGCCACAGTTGTACGGTGCTTAGAGAGCTCTGACTAAGCGGCTGCCAGGGCGCCGACAGCATCGAGTACGTTAGGGAACGGACAGCGCGACGTTTACAACGAAAGACGAGGGAACGAATGGCGAGCGCGCCTCACGCTACGCCACACTACGCAAAAGTTCAACATCGTCGAATCACCCGTTGTGGCTGGCTATGGACAAGCAGACAAAGCATTAGCTAACGGAAATTCACCAACAAGGGTCGCTCGACCCGGCGACCGACAATCAACAGTCAACAACAGACAAAGCCGCAGCGCAAAGAAAGATATAATAATCCCCGAATATTGAACCACTCGAGAACGTAGCTAGAGTATAAATTATAAAGAAATATGCGAGAAAACAAATAAAAGTGCAAAATGGCAAAAATTACAGTACGGTATAGTACTCTATACGTTGTACAAAAGGATATAGCTCACCCATTTATGCAAACCTATTTATGCTAACATCTCCATATTAGGTTTTTGTATTTAATGTTATTCATCAGACGTTTTATTATACAGTAATACATCAAGAAGAATATATACGACGGAAAGAAAAACGTTATTTTGGTAACGTTTAGCGAATGTTCTCTCCTTCTTTAGCTAACCAGTGTGGCAAAACGATAGCCGCATTTGTTTGTTCCTAGCTATTGAACCCAGTGGAGTAGGAGGCAATATATAACATCCTGCGCGCTCAATATCGTCGATGTCAGAACAGCGATGCCGAGGAATAGTCCTTTCCTAGAAAGGAGTTGGTCCGTGTACCCATATGCCGGCTAATAGTATAGTTACAGCAGTTAATCTTACGGCTAGTGTTGCGCGTTTCTATTCCAACAGGCAAAAACATAATTCAGAGTTATAAACTGTAAATAGACATATGTATATATTAGCATCGGGACATTTCACCCGAATATTCGAGTGTACTGGTTTACTTGAACACTTCTTCATCAGTATAAAACAAGCTAAGGTTTTCAACCCAGTGACATCTGGATGTAGCAAAGAACTACCGACCAACAGCGTTCGACAAAAATCAAAGCTCACGGCCTATCACGTGCACACTTGTTCTTCTACTATCTTCCTACCTCTAGTGAGAAACGGGATAAAGTTAATGGCACAATTCAAAATGATACTATTTCATAGCAAGCGATGCGGCACTCTGCAATTTTTTCCATATTTGAGATGTACTTGGAACCGGAGGCTGTTCACTCAAACTTCTAGCAGGTCAATTGATTAGGCTATGAAAAATCAGAAACTTGACTGGTTTATAAATGTGAATTCTACTTTGGCACTATAGCGACGAGGATGGCTCGTCGTGTAAACCAGATATTCAATGCAGGTTCTAGAACCACCCTGTTCGAAAAAATCTAGGGAAAGGAATTTCTAACTCGAAAATGAATGGCCAAACGCTGTGAACTATGGCGAGAGCTGACCCACCTCAATGTGCACGGATGTTAGCGCGCTTGTCGACCTTGGTTAGCTAAATAAAATCAACAAATGAGCAACGCATGATGCAAGCGAGTATCAAAGACAGACGTAGAAATGTTTTCCTTATTTTGCTTTCGTATTAAGACATTAACCCATTCTTGGATCACATTGAGACTTGTGATGGATCCCCTTCGATAATTGTGGACGGGCAGATTACTCTATCAACGCAATTGAATCGGAGAGACATCACCCCAAACATAGGTTCGGCTGTAAAATCTCGAAGCATCTAGTTGGCAGTCTAATGTAGTTCGAGGATCACCGTGGAAAAAATGCACGAGTTATATATACACGAGGGTGTATATCATGCGATACTCCCCAGACATTGCCCTGACAGACAAGCATTTTTTTAATCTCGAAATTTCGAAAAGGAGAAGGATTAAGGTGAATTTGTTCAGTCGTTTCAACTTTAAGTTTTGAGAATTATTGAAATATCAGCATAACGTCCTTCGAAGTTTTATGCAGCAAAGCAACAAGTTCCCATCAGAATGGCACAAGGTCGTGGATAATAAGGGTGCGTAGTTTCATTGAAAAGAAAAGAAGGAAGAAGAAAGCACTAAAAGTTACGAGTTCACTACGCTACGTTTTATACCAAAAAGACCTAATATTTGTGAAAATCAATTTACTTTTCCATATTATCATGAGCGATATTAACGGGAGAACCCAATTGCATATCAAGCGCTATTCTAATAACATCGCCGTAATACAACCAGAATAAAAAATAATTTCCAAAGAGGAGCGCTTTTCTTTGCATTCAATAAATGCTTTATATCGGTCTTCCTTTCTTCCATTTCATTCAATACGAACAGGTTTATAAATGACGATAACACGTTTAAATTATAATTGATACAAAGGTGCAGACGAATTCGAAAGCGCCGCACGCCTTGTATACACCATCTATTCTATTACATAACGTCCTATTGCGCCTAATTATCATATGACAAGAGAAATAATGACACACAGATGACATTCATTATGGACATTCATTCGTTGGCTTTTTTTCATTTTTATTTAGGCGATTTTTTAAACAGTTTTTCAAAAATTTACCATTTCTTCCTACACATTGTTCATCTTTATACAATTTACCATTAACAATATGGTATTTTATTTTATGGTGGTTTTCTGTTTTTATGATAACGGGATTAATTGCGCGTTACGTTCCGGTTTTGATTACTTCATTTTCGTTTTCCGTTACTTTCTTGCTGCAAAGCAAAATGTTTGTAGTGTTTTTCAAAAAATGTTTTTATCTGTCGCCACTGTACTCAATAATTTTTCCCTGTTCAATTCCTGTTCAATTCCTGTGTATCGAAAGTGGATCTTTGTTTTATATTTATTAGATAATAGAACTGTTATAATATTTCTATTATAATTGGTATTCAATTTCCATTATATTTTATCACTTTGCATTTTTATCTCCGTGCAGCGCCCTTTACTTACATTATTTCAGTATCATATCATTATTAGTAGTTTATCATGATCATTTCATTACCATCGTAATTATTGTTATCAACGTTCTCCATCAATCAAATATGCCTTTGTTATAAGATATTAGTCGTCTGTGTATATGAGCACAGATTTCTATATGTAATTATGTGACAGGTTGTTGTTGAGGTTTAAGTCGCTTAGGTCGGCCGAGTTGCCTGAACCACGTCGGGTAATAATGATGATACCCGTGGCGTTGGCTCAATTACGCTTAGTATTATTACGCGACAGCGTCTTTTTCCTTAACGCGTTCCGCCTAAGTGCGTTCTCATCAGCGATAACGCCAGCAGCAATAGAACGCATCACAAAGTATTATACGCAACGAATGGAAACATTATATATGGAGATGCACTTTGTATATGTTTATATAAGTGTGTGGGTTATTAGTATAAGGAGAATATACGAAGGATAGTTATATGTATGTGAGATGCTAGTGTCCTTAATGCTGTTTCGATACAATTTCAATGTTGTGGTCGACTGTCGCTTTCTCGCTTTTCTTCTGCAGCTTCTATCCGTTATCGGTTGTTGAATCACTAACAAGCTTACCGCTGCTTTGCCTTAATGGTATCTGCTTTATTTACTAGCTCACTAGGACACTCGAAGTATGTGCAGCAAGTAGTGGTATAGTTAATCAGGCTGATTTAGGATGCACGCTTTCGTTCGGCAGTTGTCACCTGCACAAGGTTACACCGCACAACAGAAGGACAACTCGTTTTGTCCCGTCCTGCAAAATGACGGCCTTCCGTAACGACACGTTAGAAGATATGCTACAGTTCTACTGGTAGAAATGTCTATTGGTAGATTACTGGAAAGAACGTAGTTGTTGTTTTTTATTGTTGCTGCTTTCATTAATGTCTCTGTAGAAGTCACTATCGTATCACTGTTTGCCCTGTACTTTCAGATTTCTGTCAGGCCTTGGCTGTTTTTTGCGTTTTGACTTGCATACGCAACGAACTGCTTCTCGCTGTTAATGATACGATACGAAGGTTTCTTGTATTTTCGTACTGTCGTTGTTTACACTGGATGGATGTATCTGCTACTAATGATAGCGATGTGGAGATACAGTTTCGAGATACGGTTTAGCATTATTAGCATAGTTCATTCATTTAATTTTTCCCTCTTTTTTTTCTTATACTTATCATCATTATTCCATCTCAACTATATTTGCTGCTTTTTTTATATTAGCTGTTTCCTTGTTGCTGCTAAGATTTACACAGATCTTCACAATGAATAAATGGATTGCTCAGTAGCACTTAGATGGTGTATGCCATGAAGTACAGCTGAGGATCCTGCATCTCTGCTGGGACAAGCGTGTTACCGGGGGCGAGCGACTCGAAGCCGAGGTACATAAGTGTACGGATGATGGTCGTACGATCGCTTCGTTCCTTTTTTAGCGACACGACGACAGTCTTCGCGTGAAGCTGTTCTTCGGCAAACTCCAAGAGCTCGGTGATAGCTTGCTTCGTGCCTTCGGGCAGACCCTCATCGGGCACAGTGAGCACGAGATTTTGTCCAGCTAGGACCGCCTCCCACAGGGGCATAGAGTCACGAACCTGGAATGTGATCCACACAGGCCCGCTACCACTTCCTAAACCAACAACACTAGCTACTACTCCTCCGTCGTTTTCCTTCTCACCAGTGCCCACCATCGAGTTAAAGGCAGACCTAAGCGCCCCTGCATTATCGGGCAGGTGACATCCCAGTGGACCGCCGATGATGGCCCCGGTCGGGTGCGACTTCGCGCTCCCCACACACTGTTCACCCGACGGGTTGGCATTGGCCGACCATTTGCTCAGCGTATGGGGGACATCAGGAGCACCACAGAGGCCCCGCGCCCAACGAGACGCAATAATGTCCTGCCAACGTCCCCAGAATAGAGCGATCCGACGCTGCAGACTCGAACGAACTAGCTCCCATAGCCGATGGCGCACGCGAACCTTGATTCACACTAAAAGGGCTTCTAACGCAAGTCTCTTTTTTACTACTTAAAAGCACCATTTTCACAAACACTCAGTTTCACGAAGAAGAAGACGAAAAGCGCACGCTCCTTTCTGGACCTTTGTTTGTCACAACGCGCCTTCTCGAAGTAATTAACCGATACGTAATCACTTCACAGTAGCTACTCACAGCACGGTTTTCTCGTCGTTTCGAAGTTTTGCCTTCCGCGTTCGTCGTAGCAGTCGTACAGTGATATGCTCTTCTCGGTTCACTCCAAGGGCGTCTAGTCTGCAATGTCCAACGTCGGCTCACAGCTCGCCCTAAATAACCCTCGGTAAGGCTTACGATGGTGACGTCACAACCCTTACCCATTTAGACCTAGGCGAACGGAGTTTCAGCGAAAGTCCGCAAATGCGCGCGACTTGCCCGCGTAATTTAGCAAAATGTTTCGTTCCTTTAGGCACACAGGCTTTCCTTGATAAATTGCATGTTCAACGATTTGATAAATTTTGCTAAAATCTCGTTCTCTGATGTTGCTATTGCCTTTATGCTGTGCCACGCAGTTTCAATGCAGCGGCGACCATAGCCGCTACCGCTGCATAGAGAGAATCGTCTGGTCCTCCCCTTTCGCTTCCCTTTCACATACTGCTCACCACCAACTAGTGCTTCTCGTTCTGCCGTTCGGCCCCAGCAGCGCCGTTAGCACCTACCTTGCGCATCGAGGTGTTGCCAACTGTAGCAAATAGTGGCCCGCGGACCGCAGGTTGCTGGTAAAGCCAACCAAACCAGAAACGGCGATCCGTCGGGCGGACGGCGGGCTTCTCACGTCGCTTCGAAGAACTCTCGAAGAGCAATGCGAGCGCAAAGGGAAAGGGAAAAATTACGGATCTTTATTGAGAGACCTCAGTGATGAGAAACCAGACGACCCCTGGCCCCTCTTGGCATGGCCTTGCGGAAATTCATCTGCTACAACTGCTACAGCTCCTACTTCTACAACCAACGATGTTGAAATAGCTGTCGTGATTGTAACTGCTGTTGTCTTTCTGCTCTGTATAGTGCTAATTCTAAAAAGAATGAATAGTTGTCTTCTTGTCGCTATTACATCTGCCCTATAAGTGGTTATTGTTGTTACTGCTGCTGCTGTTACTGTACATTATTGCTATCATCAGTACTTACCAATATGTGCTTACCATTATCGACACTAAGATTAGTCACTGTCTGCAGGATTAATTTTGTTACTACTCAAATCTCTCTCGACCACAACTTCATTTTTAGAGCTTTTAGATATAACCGTTTATTATATTCATAGTACTTTTAAAAAAATATGCTACAGTTAGCAGCCATCGTGTTCTAAGGTCTATGCCCTGCAATGAGTTGAATACCCATAGTACAGAAAACTTTGAACAGAAATGGCCTGTGATTGTATACTGCTAATATGGATTTCCTTCTAATTAACCCGTGCTCAATCGACTGCTCCCTGGCGATTCTATTTTCTTATCCACGTTGTCACACAGCGATCTGCCTAGTGCACACTTTGAGTCCATTTTCGGAAAGATTCAATAGAGTCTTTCCGAAAATGGACTCAACTCGAGCTTTCTCTCCGATCGATCTTATATTGTTTTAGTGGACTTTTGTCCTGGGGCACAAAGTTCTTTTTTCTTTAATCATCATTTAATCGATTTCGTCATGTCCGGTGTCGTTGTAGATCTCTAAAGGAGGGTCGTCCGGCGGTAACACACCTATCAGCAGTTGTACATCGTCTCAGTATAAGGCACTTATTCAGCATAACTGGATTTATTATTAATATATCAAGTAACACTGTTCAGTATAATTTACTCTGTCGACCTCTACTTATCGTCATTTCAATTTTTATTGGTTACATGAACAATTTTCAGTCAATAAAATATCGAGGGTCGATCGTCTAACAATACACAGTTGTTTATTGAGTAAATATACGGACGGTTAACGGTTAACGAAGCCGATTTGTCAATGAATGTGATATAAACTGATCAAGGGCCGTCGGCTTACTGAGCATGATGTACGTATCCATGGACGATAACACAGCCAAATTTTAGTCACAAAAGCACATTTTTATCACAGTCACACGACAATCCGGCTATGTGATACGGTTGACACGGTAGCGCCCTTAGCTATATTAAGTATCAGGTGAAATAGGGTACATTTTTTAAAGAGAAACCTGTAAAATTGTTAGCGTCTTTTCAAGTTGCCGTCATACTCTAATCGATTTATTATTACCGTACATATCTGTACGCTCGAAATGTGATTCGATAGATATGAATTTGTTACTGGATTAAAAAATGTTTTAAGTTATCGCCAGCTCCTCATATCTTCTGTTGTTTATTAAATATCAAGGAAACTACTGATAAACGTACGCTTTTCTTATCGCACAGTTCGAAGTTGCACGATTTAGCTCCTTGACCTATTACCAGCAATGTAAACAAACCACCAATCGGTTAGCTTTATGCCGTCCATATTACTTGCACTATAAACAACCAGCTTTTTCTCTTCTCTTTTTTAGTATAACTTTGCGGTAGGAACACATTCAAGTATGAGTACCTTATTGCGAAGTTGGCAAACGAACCTCGTGTGCAACGAATAGTTACGCGCTCGTAGTACCAGCTTCGCAGGCAATGAAAGCAGAAAAAGTTGAGCTCAAGCGGAATAGCCCGTTTCGGCTGTACTCGGTCGGGCAGAACCGACCTTGACAAAGCAATTAGTTGTAGCAATATAGTCGGCGGAGCTGCTACAAGTCAACCAGACTGACCAGCAGATACACCAGGCCTCACCAACGTTTTTTGTACACACAGTCGTACTAGACTAGATGCGAGTATCCGCATTTTCTTTTTCACCCTTATATCGGTACACCTACAACTAGTAGCATGTGCTGTACATACATTCGTGTCGATCTTCGTCGTCCGGTCACACCCTGATGACGTTCAACGTATATTCGTATACATGTGGATGAAGTTGGTCGGAAGGGAGCAGCCTAGTTGAGAAGTAAGGCTAGGAAGTTGACGTTCGCATATCCATTCGGTCTCGGTGTATTGCTAATATATAGTATCCACGCTGTAGCGGCTGCAGTGATCGCGATCGTAATGCCACTTGATGCTGGCCGTGGTGCTTCTGTTAGTCGTTGGGAAGCTTGTTACACGGCCAGAAATACCGGGAAGAGGATCCGTAGCACCGAGTAGAGTGCATGTTTTCGACAGCCACTGCGAAGCGTAGCGTCTGCTCAGAGTCACGGTTGCAGCACCGGTCGACCAGCAGTTTCCTTTTTTTCCTTATTTTATTGCGCAGCTTCGAGGTTACGAGACAAAACCACATATATAATTATAAGAAGGTGAGAGGGTAGAAGGAAAAGCGAGATGTGACGGCGCGCACGATGTTACTGGTGGCCAAAAGAAAGATGGCCAACACTCAAAACGACAGCTACACTCCCTTTATCGTTATTTTATAGTTGTTTTTTTTGCAGGGTGTCGATCAGCGCCAGCAATTCGTTGTCGGTCATCCGCGTTTCGTGGCTGCGGTCAACCTGCGTGAACGAGCGATGCTGGCAAACCATTGGTCGCGAGACGCCGTGATGTGATGCCAGCCCTGCACCAAAACACGAAATCACGTCCTTCTAAAACCATATTAATCGGCTGATCTGTATCTGTTAAACACCAGTCAGAGAAGAAGTTTCTTAAAGATTTACAAAGGCCAGAAAGTGTAGGAACCAGTGACTCAAGGATCTTTATGGGTACGAGTACATGTTAATTAAAAAGAAGCCCATACATGTGTAGCAAACAGAGTAGAAAAGCAAAAGTCGACTTCATTGTAATAAAAGTAAACGGACCAAATTGAAAAACAGTAGACGAATATTGATTGGAATGTTTATACGAAAAAGTAAATACCAGTAATTTCCAGTGCCGAAGCTTTGTCCAGAGATAGCATTCGATTCGGTCGCCTCTGGCGGAAAGGAAACGGGAATTTATTCAAATGAGGATTTTTCGCTCACGAAGACAACGACCAGAGACCACTTATGTTTCGACGAGCCGAATGCAAGCAAACAGGTATTCATTGCCCTTGTTTGTCTCCTCAGAGGCTGAGGAGGTTAAATGACTACTGCGATGGTCCACGCAAATGATGACAAAATTTAGGCTCTGACCAAATATGGCATACTTCCCACTCAAGTACGCAATTGGCACCTGCAGTAGTGCTTGTCGCGTGGTTCCATCACAAAGGGTGATAGGTGACCTTTTACGATCCGGGAACATCATTTCTTCTAGCACAGATTTCTGGCCAACATACGCCCATTGCCACGTTGAGACTTAGCTTACACGTGTTTGTATTTTATATATTGCTAGTATTATCATGTATGTTTATTTTTATAAAACTTGAAACAATCCATTTCATTATTGTCTACAAATACCGAATAAGTGAAATACCTGTTGTTGTTGTTGTTGTTATTGTCAGTTTTTGAGTAAATTATAGATAAATAATTACATTTCATTTATCGGCGATAAACGCCATCTCTATGACTGATATTCAATCTATTGGGCATATGCAATTATGATGGATTTAAGACCTAGATTCTCTGTCCAGTTGTCTGCTGCATGAACCAAAAATATTATCGCTGGATCGTCAAATGAGTCGAAAATATGAAGCTGTTGAGGTCCGTAAAGTTGCTGTGCTAATTCATAAGATATTATGATTAGGAGATGGATTGTCACAAAACCGAACGCTCAATACCTACTCTCTTGGAAGCATAACCCGTTGCATAACATAGGTGTGACATTGCCATTTTTACCGTTACACCAAGTGAAAACCCGGAAAGCCATACTTTCGAGGTAAAGGCCCGAAGGGGTCTTTTAGGTTTAAATTTAGGGTTTTTTAGGTTTCAAGCGGAAGAAGACTCACAGTAATGTATGAAAGATTTCATTCAAATTATTCATCCAAATAGCATTAGTTCTTATATATAATAAGGCACGATATTCATTTATTTCAAGTCTTGACTTCTGACAGGTGTTAGAGATAAGAGTTGAATGAAAGCATTTTACAATCAGTACATCAGAACATCTCTAGAGTGTTTGCAAAGCTCTCTTATGTGTTAATTGTACCGAAATCGATCGACACCTCCTTGTAACGGAAACTCTGTGGAGTGCTTGCAATGAACCAACCGCTAGGCACGAAAACCTTGTCGAGAAACATTTTAGATAAAGATTAACTACGAATTTCGGTAATAGCAAACGCTCTGAACCGTAAAACAATTCTTATAAGTTTTGTTTAAGTAGACCATATTTCTAAGCTTAGCTGAAAAAACAAACAAAAAATAATGGCATTAATCTTATTGTATGGACACAGGACAAAAATTATGAGAAAAAAAAACTGTAACAACTGATTAGCTGATTGTAATATGATAATAAAAGTGATTGTTTCAATTTTTGCTCGGGTGGTTCCCTCTTATCAGTGACGATTGCTTCTCATACCCTGCACTTCTTCGATCTGTCAATTCAACAAGATCCAGTTTATTAAATCTTCGAGAACAATTTTTACATATCTGTTGATATGCATAAATATTATGCATATGTGATAAAATTATGTACCATATAAAAATGGATTACCGTGTGAACACGCACACATTACTGTGAGTTAAATAGTTTTCATCAAAACTGCTCTTCACAATCCGGCATGAATCAAGCAGCGTAGCTACCTCTATGTGAGTAAATTCAAGCGCATGGTTCCAGGACACAATCACTAACCCGTAGGGAAAGATCATCATCATCTCGCTGATCTCGCTGAACATCATTGTTTACAAATAAGGCACTTTGAGAGGAAACGTTACCATATGCCAGCATCTACAGCAACGCTATTTAGGACCTTTGTTTTTTGATTAATTTTATTTCTCACTACAACAAAACATTTCGTCAATCTACATATTAAACTGTTTTTCAGTAGCTTCCGTGCCGCTTAATCGTACGGTCCCTAACAAATAAACAATTCATCCAACCTCATTTAAGGATTTCTAGCAGACGACGCCTCTCCGAGTGTCCTCTGCTTGGACGTTTTCCACTATCATCTGTCTGCTGCCCGCCTCCCCATTCTCCGACGGCACATTGCTCGATCTATCCCGGCTTTCACTGACAGCTCCCTCTTGTGTTCTCTCTACAGCTGTGTTCGATTTTTCGGCTTTGGGTATTGCCGGCTAGTCGTTTCTGGTTGCTGGAAAAATGATATTTTATTCGAGTGGCGCTTCGAGATGTTGATTTTAGAAAGGAACAGTAGTAGAAGTAGCAACGGTAGTTTTTTTAGCAGCCAGAGGAGAACTGCTGTTTCGAAATCGACGTCAACAGCAATCCTGTCAGCGCTAACAGAGAACGCTATCAGTTCTTATGACGTGCCGTGTGATCGCCGCCATTGAGTTCGTTTGTATCAAACTGCCAGTGGTGGTAGGTGTCGCTCTTATACCCGTTCACCCTTTTAGAGGTTTGCACGGCTAGCCTCCTAACGTGTGAGGTCGGAACTTTTGGCTTAGAACGGAATAGCTACTAAATTACAATCTTCGGTTCGGACGAGCAATGCAACGTAGGCCATTGTTCGGACAACAGGTTACAAAATTTTTTGTGATCGCCCTACATCACGCAACTTATCCGCGTATCTGTCTGTGTGCCTGTACGTACAATGGCGTAGAATCGTACGCTTAACACGGCTCCAGCTGGCGTAAAGCTGCTCAGCTACTAACCTGTGTATCGAAGAGAATGGTAGTTCGCGGTCGTTGTCGTCGTACTAGTGGTCATCGTTCTTGCTATCACGATATTGTCAGCCACGGAGCCAATAACACTGTTAGGAATTACTGCTCAGTCAGTCAAACGAGTGCTGGTGAACACAACAGAGGCTACTCTGCCCAGCTGGTACCGAATAATGCAGCGTCGCCTTTTGAGACTCCTGAGCAGGTGACTACCCACGAGAGTCAACGATTGGCAATCGCCGGTGACGTGACAGGGTACGCGCTACCGCAGAGATAAGCCGTAATCATACAAACCATTTTTAACTGACCCATTCCTTTACTGCAACATCGTCATGCGAATCGCACAGGGATCAGGTACGTATCGATAGCCATCTCTCTCAATTTGGGTTGGCCAACTAAGCGATTGGTTGCACTATATCAACCCATCTTGGTTAAACGAATACATGCATATGCCGAATGTATAAGCTCGTTCATCGATAACTGTCGAAACGTATGAACATTAGAAAAGTTATCTTGACAATTAGGATTGAAAATTTTTATCTTGGTCCTAGTAGTTTATCAGTTAACTTTCGTATTATATTATGGATCATATTATCCGTAATGAGACCGATAATAATAGAAGGAACATAATCTACAGGTAACCGAACCCCATCGTGTGCGGGTTTACGAGACGTTTTAATCTCGTTTAGTCAAAAGGTTTTCAGAAGCGACATTGTGTACTATCTAGTCTGCGTTGCCAGTATTGAAGATGTGGGGGGCTATCACCTAACAAAACAGAGGGGGTGCTCGTCATCTGGGGGCACTATATGCATACGAAAGACTAGGGATTTTTGGTTTGGCCACGAATGAGTTCATAGAATAGCCCAAATTATTAACTTATACGTCATACGGCAGTTCAGGATACTTAAAATTCGAAGTCGTGGAAATATTAGGTAGGAAAAAGCATTGTCATTAGCTAGTTACACTAAACTGATAATCACTTAATTTTTTAAATACACCTGTTTCGTTTAAATATTCATGGCTGCGAAGTACCTTAGCACAGTAGTAGTTTGGTAAATATTTCACTACCAGCATCAGTAGGAAAGAATCCCACTCTTGGACCCCATTATACGAACTATATTAGGATATATGCTATTTTGGCATTCGCCTGTATCTCTTAGGAAAGATGTACAGATGTACAGTCATACAAACATAATCACACGTTTAACATACACATTAGTCGTTTCTGTGCATATGCACGAGATTGGCCGAAATGAAACTTTCGTACGGAATTCTGAATGACGACGACACCCGCATCAGGAATGTGAGAAAGTGCTTTATGGTTGGTCAGTCGATCTCCAGTATTCTATTATTTTCAAAACATATTGAGAGCAGTAACTAGTTGATTGCAGTGGTTGGCTAGTTATGGCCCTTTGTGTAACAATCTCATAGATAACCCTGAATTTCTCTGCAATTGTGTCAAACTGTCAAGGCCCAGGCTAACACGAAGCTTCAAGATTGAGAATGGCGGCCGGAAACGTAATATCTGTATCGAATGCAGATGTGAGCACGTTTTGTTTTTATGCGACTTTCTCGACAAAACGCTGACAAAAGCACAGGCTATTACTACATAGACTTCAACGAATTAAATAGTAGTTGGGTTGAATTCTACGTAGTATCGAACGCAGCGTAGCAATTATGTTGACTGTAGTTTGACTACAATGACACTGCCGGTGTCTAAGAATGAGCGGCTAAAGGCAACAGTATGGTGGCCTCTGTGGTACTCCTGTGGCCTACGCGAGCGGTTTCCGGCTGAATCTATCATGCTTTGAAAGTAAAATTATGGCTTGATTGGATAGGTCATCATATACTGTAAAGTTATTTTAGTTGGTTATGGTCTTCTTTTTCAGATATCAGATACCCCTCAACTCATATTGATTTAGCAACTGGCAGTTCAATCTGTGGTGTAATATCATTTAGCTATACACTATTCGTAGGCAATTCGAGTAATGTGAAGAAGTATTCTGTGCCTAGATTAACCTTCTTTTTTTGTGTATAATCCGCAACACACAGGGACAAATATCATTTATGTTAGATATTTGATCTAAAACTTTTTCAACATTATGTTAACAAAAGGATGCACTTTGATAACTGTAATTGTTTACGGCGAGCAACGCAATATATTTAGCAAGAATGGACATCTATAGGCGAACCATCCTGTCGTATCGTACGAAAATGCATTCTAAAATCTCATTTCCTGACGACCTACTGAATCATCCGGGCAACATTCATAAGGCTATGAATGACCACGTGAATAGGGCGTAAAGACGATACATTTTGAACGTTTTCTTCGAATCTTTATGGATTATTATTGCTGAACGGTTTTAGGTATTCATTTAGCCTATTAGTGTATTAATATTCTAGGAACACTTATACTACTAGGGACCTTTTTACGACTGAACCTAGAGGCTGAACAGATAGTGAAAAATAGGATACTCGTCGTACGAGAGTATTAGCAGATGTAACATTGATACTGTTGTAGAGAAGTAGCATTGTACGAGTTTGCTGAAACTTCTAAAAAGCTGATTGCGAAGTAAATCTAAATCCTTAGCGGTAACCTGAAATATAATAGATTTAAAGTGGCAAGAAATGTAGTCTCGAAGAATGCACCGTTAGCTTCGGCAAAATTCACTCATTGGATTGATGTTATAAACGGTATTGATGATTTAGGCCCAACGATTGGTAGCTAGGGTTTTTATTATAGTCAAATGAAATTACTGAATCGTCCGGTCATACCTGAATCAAAAAGGATATTATAATAGCGTTTTCTTTTTTTTTTTTAACTTTATTACTGCTAATTAGCCAGTACTTCACTGATGGTACAAAAAAAAATTACCGTGATTTGATATTATCCATCAACGATTTAGTGGAAAAGTTTTTTATCGTACCTGTATAAAAAAGTTGTAGCATCACATTTTGACCCTGCTATTTTGTAAACCTTTATACTGACCTATTCTAACTAGACGAAACTATTCTAACTTGCAGATAGATGATATAGGTTGACGTTTATTTTGTATACTATCAAAGATGTGTGTGTATGTACTGGCTAATTAGCAGTAACAAGGTTATGATATTTTCTTGTAATTCTTGACTGACATGACGACATTTCTGTCAGGTTTACGGTGACAGCTAGTAGCGTGTTATGGTATTAATTAGAATCTCTGTATTTGGCCTATGTAAGATCGTGAGCGGTTTAGCTAGACAATGTCGTCCGTTGGAATACATCTCACTTTCAGTTTGAGTGCATACTGTAAATATTGGTATTTCATTTCAGTGTTCGTTACTTTTGCTATACCGATCCAGGAATCCTACCAGTATTTAATTATTTTCACTCATTCACCCGTCTTTCGAATGATCATTATGCTACAATCATAATTGCTGTTTCTGCTACTACTGCTGTTTTTTTGCCGCAATGTTTATGACAGTTGTAACAATCGTCTATAGCTGACGGCTGTGCGGTCGATAAACAGTATCGGTTCTTTTTTGTTTCTGCGGTCCAGCCTCCTCAGCTCTTAGAATCGGTACCAATAGCTGGCATGAACAATCTTCTACCCGGCTTAGTAATGTTTGTTTGTCTGCACCTAGCCAGTAGAGCATTTTCGAAACTTACTGGTTGTGACTTTGTTCCGCGCGTAATATTCTCGACATATCATTGAATCTCAGCTCCGCCACATCAAATGCTTTGGTTTAATAGACGTTGTTGAAATATAGATTCGTATCGAAACATATATCTGTTAAACGCAAGCCCACTTTCAGGACATGTATATTATAAACAGATATGCTTTTCGGTCAGGCCTTTGGTTATTTGTATGGTATGTGTCAATGAAAAACTGGCTTGAATAATCGTTATCGCTTTTCGCAATATTTGCCGTAGCTTAGCTGTTGGGAAATTCCTTCGATTGTGGCCATTATCAGCACACGTCCAGGCATGGTTAAAAAACTTAGAGAGCAAGCTAGCCATGAAAAATATAAACTGTGAGCTTGTCTGCTGGCGAGGGCAGCAGAAGCCATTGGTCACTGTTAGCTGTTTTAGGTCCGTCATTATCCCTTCCTCTTTCGTCAAGTGACGCCTAACCTTTTTTACGACGGGAAGTCGGACTTACAGTCATGTCAGACAGATCCACCTGTTCCCTATAAATTTATTTCACTTTTCGCTGCCATTGCTATCCCATAATTATATTATCGTTAAGCGATGTTCGAGCGTTCTTTCCTACACGGTCCGAACAAGTGTCATCACCTACAATTGAATTCAGCACATCAAGATCAAAACCTCACCAATTTATTTCTCGCAAGTGAAAATCTACGAAGGGAGGTATGTCAGCGAGTCTGTAACTTTTGCGTAACCAGACATCTGTGCACATGCTATGAACTACTTGAAATACAATTAGCTTTATAATAGTGGTAAATTATAGCATCTGAAAGGCTTTTGTAGATACAGATAAAATCGTGAATATCGTTGACGTATTATAAATAGAATAAAATTTAAAATAGCAGAACTTCCCGTTCCTAGCTATCGGCTATAATATCAGTTAAAGCTTTGCCTATGCTTTACATGCCAGTAAAGATTTAACCTAATTATATTTTGGTACCATATCCATCATTCAATATAGATTCCTTTCCTAACACGATTTCAGCTCGGTGCAGATTACTAAGGCTTGTACCGCTTCCTACATCTTATGCAAATGGCGTGTTTATTAGTTTCAATACGAACTCGTAAATATGGACCGAAAGATTAACATTCGGACGTTTGGTAGTCACTATTCTTTACAGCACTTATGTATCTAGAGGTTTGACGAAAGTCATATCAAACTCACTCTGGGATTTTCCCTGGTTGTTGCATCGTAAGTAAACATAACTAAAAGAAATTTTCTATATTTAAGCTTACTTTCGTATTGTATTCCTACTGACTCTTGTTTACTACAGGTCCTTATAAAAATTAGATGTCAATATTTAATACCAAGACTTGTTTGTTTATGGGTTACGTGATTAGTTGTAATTTTCATCCTCCTTTATAGATCTAACTCACGTCTTACTTCGAATTAATATTGTCGCATACAGAAGCGCATGCCCGATAACTCTACTTTAAAGACGTTAGTTGTATTAATGGCGAAGTGTAGCTTTGAGGTCAAGATCCATAATTATACATGCATAACAGCTTTTCACGGTAATTAATGCCACGGGTAAAGTATATTAATTCTATATACTAAGTGCGCGCAGGTTGGTTGTGATTAAGAAAGAGTTCCGTTTTACTCGGTGTAAATGGATCAGGTTAAAAAAACCTTCTACTGTTAACAATCAGTTTAAAGGTGCTTGTAAGTAACAAGAAAACTTTCTTTCCAAAACGAGTGCAATAGTGCCCCTTTATCCAAGTGATGTCAACCTATATGCACACAAAACATTATTTGCTAATAAGGCGGCCTAACTCATATTAGGCTAGCGAGTTATTTAATGAACTTTTCCACAATTCTTTGCAAGTTGACTGTGATAGGGAGAAGCAAAGTAAAAACGTAAACAAAAAGTTTTTTTTTTCTCTAACTTCAGACTCACATCAGTTCTGCTTTCATTGTGTGCACATTAATGTGGATTTGTGTTGGCGTAATACATTTGCTTAAGATACCTTGAGGAGCACAAAATCATTTGTAGGAACATTCATGTCTTCAAATATGTAAATTCCCAAACAAATAAAATGTAGGTTTTGTATTATCATTCTGTGGAACATTCCCACGGGACTCAATACGCCATGGTAATTTGCAGCTTTATAGCATGCAGTCATATAACGGCCTGTAGCAACCATAAGCGGCGAATCACGTGTGTTGATCTTTTTCCCTATGCTTTTAAATGTTACGTTATAGATGGCATGTAATTAGTGATTGTAGACTGTGTGCAACAATACAGTACCGAGCTAAAGCTCAAGCTTATAGTGATAATGGTAATTATAGTTGATATTTAAAATGTGGTATTTACATTTTCGATACTATATTTTTTGTATGGAACTATTAATGGATCAGCAATGAATATCAGTTGGAACGCCTGAAAGGTCCAATCAGTGTATATATCTCTAAAGTATTAATATATCTTTTCTAAGTCGAACACAGATGAATGTAAAGTACCCAATTGTAGTTACCTCAACACTATGCTAAATGAATTCAAAATACTACTCACACGTCGCCCAATGTTTGTTGAATAGTTTGTGTTGATTATTTCTGTTAATATTGTTCTCTGACGTAAAAACGCTTAGCTCTGTACGTCCTGATGCATTAGTTTGCTGCAGTAAGAAAAATAGCCAGTTATTTGACCGAATGTTGAAAAGGGTCCACAATGCAGGTGCCACGTTAAAAATCTTTGTAACACAGCGTCTTTCCACTACAATACTCTCTATGCATAATGCTTTCCGGAAACTGAGGAATATCGGTCAGCCCCAATACGTAAGAATTGACCAAGCATGTTACCGATGTCCTTTATTAATAATTAGCTTCTGTGATAGTGGTTCGAGTGTCCTGCCGTAATCCTATCATTAGCAACATTATAGACTTTGCCTTTAGTTTACATGTTAACTGGGGTGCGGAAACAAAATGTTTATTTTATGAAAATTTTTCTGCCAGCGTACACTAGCGTTTGGTACACCAGCGTTATGTAGTGTATCTAAAATCCTGATGACTTGTTTTTATTCAGCTTTTGGTTACTTTCAAGGCACTCTGAGAAAATAGTGATTTCCGTGTAAAAACTCACTATATATATTCACGTGAAAAGCTGGTCGACTCAGAGATCTGCAAAGAAGCAGCCTTTGGTACTCACGCATTCTGAGATTTACATCCGCCTAATAAACGATACCTAGCTCAAATGTAACAACAGCATGTAACGGCCATCAAACCAAGTTTAGTTAGGTAAAAAATTTTGATACAAAGACTTGAGATATTTGATTTGGATAGGCCGCCGGGAAAAAGGCCACCCAACATAAATAGTGCACTAGTATAGCTAGTGCCAGCTAGAACCAATGAATGAAAAGCGTAGAAATCGTAAAAAACAAAAAGAAACGAAGCAGTTAATCAATACACCTGTTTTCCACATATATCTGTATCATTACTCCAGCAATGAGTCCCCTAATCTTCGTGACTGGTGGAGCAGGCTTCATTGGAAGTCACTGTATCGTCGAACTCCTTGAGGCTGGCTTCGATGTGGTTGCCGTTGACAATTTTGTCAACGCCATACCTTCAGATGATGGCCAGCAATTGCCAGAGAGTCTTCGACGAGTTGCCAAGATCACTGGTAAGAAACTATTGTTCTCTCAAAATTAAGCATAATAAGGTTATTAGAACAGGTTAAAATTGCCGAGCTGATATGGATGATGTGTAATGGCTTAAGCGCTCAACGATTACCTGCAGGACTTGGGAAGTTCTTTTAACACAGCACTAGTGCAAACCTATACGGTTCTCTGAAAAAAACGAAATCACAGTCGGGTTTTTTAACTGCCGTTGCACAAATTACATGGAGTAACCTTAATGGAGCCTACGTAACCCTACGAAGCCTCATAACAAATACTTTTCTAAATCGAAAAAATGATCATATCTGCACTATTTTTTGAAAAAAAAACATAAATTTTTTGCTGAAGTGGGCCTGTAATTGTATATCGTCCCAAATATTAGGCAAAAGCATGAAATTCGCCGCATGCGACCTCTGCGACGAAAAGAAGCTCGAGGAAATCGTCAGCGCGCACAAATTCGATTGTGTTATTCATTTCGCTGCTCTAAAAGCCGTTGGGCAAAGCTGTATAGAACCCCTCGAATACTACAGGTAACAAGTTAATATGCACCTGTTTTGCGTTTTCTTGTTTACAATATTTTCCAGCTTTTAGTATCGTGGTTTTACTGGTCGCCTTTTGCTGTACCGTGGCTTAAACAACTTCCATTATCAAACGAGTGAAATGCATATTTCTCTTGCGTCTTACCTGATTATCTGAATACTGAGTCTCCGAAGATTTCCGTTACAAACTAATGAACGTGATCTTTTCAGAAATAATATGGGAAGTACCGTTGCTCTACTCAATACAATGAGGCGACACAACATGCGTAATATAATATTTTCGTCATCTGCTACCGTGTACGGAGTTCCGGAGTACCTTCCTGTAGATGAGAAACATCCCACTGGCATGTCGTGCACTAACCCATACGGTACAGTCATATGTAAAGCAATTTCATAGCAAGCTACTAAAACCTAAAATGTTATTACGGCGATTAAGTAGCTCAAGCTAGTTGGGCGCTTCAACAAAAGTAAACACTTCAGAAAGGTAGCAATTTTGCAACGAATTTTACCAAAAGGCTTTTTATTCAATCTAGGAAAAACTTTTGGGCTGTGCGATATTTTATCTAGGCCGTACGAAATACTTCATCGAGGAGATGTTGAAGGATCTCCACCGTTCTGAGCCCGGCTGGAACATAACCCTTCTGCGGTACTTCAACCCGGTCGGGGCCCATGAATCTGGCCTAATTGGAGAGGATCCTCAAGGCGAACCGAATAATCTTATGCCTTACATTGCACAGGTTGCCGTAGGTCGTCGCGAATCGCTTAAGGTTGGTTGTGGTCTCCATTTTACGTGAAAAGTTGTATCAGTCAGCCTATTAGTACGAAACCAAAAATTACTTGCACAATTACCTTATTAGATTCGTAAGTGCAATGTAGCCACACACCCATTTTCATCTGCTATAAAGTATCCTGCTTTAATCAAGTTGAATGTATATTTTGTTTTTGTGTATGTTATTTAGGTCTTCGGTTCAGATTTTGATACTCCGGATGGTACTGGTGTTCGAGACTATATCCATGTAGTCGATTTAGTTAAAGGCCACGTAGCTGCCCTCGACAAAATTCTCTCTGGCAATCTTAAGGGATTGCGTATCTATAACTTAGGCGCTTCAAAAGGCTACTCCGTTCTCGAAGTGATCAAAACATTTGAAGAAGCGACAAAAGCAAAGGTCCCCTACAGAACCGTCGATCGAAGACAGGGCGACGTCGCGGCGTTGTACGCAGATGCGTCGCTAGCTGCTAAAGAACTTAATTGGAAAGCGGAACTAAGTCTGACGAAAATGTGCGAGGATACCTGGCGTTGGCAACAAATGAATCCCCAGGGATTTGCGACTTCAAAGATTGACAAGAGCGGCCAAAACGGCTTGGCCGACTAAAAAGAAAACCCACCAAACCTTGTCACCAACAAAGGACGAAAGTAAGAGACTACTAGTCATACAACTATGGCTAACTGCTTAGCTGGTTTAATCAATCTCTTAATGCAGAACAGCACAGTAATGCGACCCAAAAAGCGGTGTTGTTATTAGCTACGAAGCTGCTTTTGAGGAGAAGTAAAATACCATAATTGCTCATTAGCTTGATCTAAGAACGGTACCTTTACCTCTTACTGCAGTGAGCATATATTGCTTAATTATTACACACGCTTGTATTAGCAAAGCGTATGGACCCTCGGAAATATGTGAAGGAATATTTAATAGTGGAAAATGATAGTACAACGGAATAATTTTCCTAAGTTTTATACTTTCATTAAAAATTATGGGTATTATGCTGTAGCATACAAGACAAAATTGAGTTTCAAACGGTATGACATCTTCTGACACCACAAATCATTTTAAATCGAAAATGTTTTATCCGGAAAAATATGCCGCGTCCTAGCCCTCTTATTGAAATACACGCGCGAATATATTGTACTTAGTGGCGCGCTAAGTCCGAAAGACTTCTACTTTTCCGTATGAGGCAAGGCCTAACGACGAGGTATCGGGCTTACGACTTTATTAATACGTTTACTGGTATAGAATATTAAATGGGCATTGCAAAAGTCTACTGGTCTCATACTGTATTACTTTTGTTCGTATGAAGCATAAATCATAAGGATTGAATAGTGTGCGTTCGATAAGGGTTACATAATGTTAGAAGAGACAGTCGTGTTGTCACTCAATATTGAGGTTTAGACATCGAGTCCTTACGTTTAAGTATCTAGTCTAAAGTTCCTATTAGGTCTGTCTTTGACTTTTTCGAGTGTCGTGGCGGGTGCTAATTAAACTTTAGTGTTTTAATCCATTATATTATTAATAATCTGATAAATCCAGTATGATCAAATTGCAGTACACATAGTGACCTATATTTTTTGACATATATTTAGAGTCATGTTTAAATGCAATTTCGTTTTTGCCGGTGATCTTGCTTCACATACATAGAAACTTCCGGAGTGCTGGTAACGTGTAACACACTCTAAATTAGAAGTATTCATATAAATAACGAGTTATCAAACAAAACAGCCATGAGATAGGTCAACGAGCCTCGATTAGTATGAGGATCTCCGATACAACGAGTCTCGATTAGTTCGAGGATCTCCAGTATAACACTAAGTCAAGGGTGATAAAAGCCGTTGGTATAACGACGCATGTTTATAAATTAAAGTTACAAATCGAGGAGAGCTTATACAAACACCTGCAAAAACAAATCTCTTAAGTAATGGATAATGAAATTTACATTAATAATGTTATGATATTACATGATCATAGAAGTTAAGGAAATGTGCATATTATGAACAGAAGTTAAGCAAATGTGCAAATTTCGATGAAAAGCTTACCCACCTTTTTTGTAGTTTTTATATAACTAAATTGTATTTCCTCGATCTTCTCGATTAAACTGTAGACGAGTGTGGATTAGCTGCAGACTGAAACTAGCAAACGGTCTTAACAACAAAGAAAGTCATGTTTCTCTATTGTACATTTTACTTGAATGAATGTCAACATGAAGCTAGCTTCATGTTAGCTAGAAGTCACTTTTGATATTTTATTTTAGGAACCTGCAACATGGACCGCATTTGCGGATAGCAAAAAAACGGGCCTGGCGCTCGATTTGGCTAAACGATTGGCTGCATGACAGTATTAGATGAATATGACAGAACTTCAGCGTTGTATCTTCGAATATTTCTACTGAGATCACTGTGTGTTGCATACTAGATGAACTTACCTGCAGAACTATTCACGACTGTGGTGTTTCAGCTCTAGTTTCACGTTTTAAACAATACATTCTAGCTATTCTTTTTTTTTGTATTTTCTGGTTCTCGTTCATGGTGTTGCGTTATGAGTTCCGACCAACAAATTACTAAGTTATTTTAACATTAAAGCTAACTATTTTGCCATATCTACACTTTTCAACGAGAAATTTTGTTCCATTAAATGACACACTTAGATTATCTCTAAATAGCCCAATCTTTTCTACTTTTGAAGTTAAAGGTGTGATATCTGGTGTGATACCTCTTCAATCTGGATTGAATTTATACTCTAAACGAAGGTTACAACCTAGCTAGTAATAAATATCATTAAAGATAAAAATAAGATCTGTCTTGTCCTTTTCTCATTATATTATCACTATTGCAATTAATTCCGCATGAATTTCAAGCTCTCTCTTTAACCAGCGCTTTTGCTCTCACTTTTCTAGAGGCAAAGGAATCCTTTACATACAGATTTTCAGAAAATCGACACAGGAACGTCTACATTTAACAGTAGCAGCATCATCATCGTTATATTGAATGTGAAAGTTCACTCTTCTTTTCCTATCGGCATATGATTGATTCAGTCAAGATAAACAACATTGGTAGGCTACAAGAAATACATTTTCGTAATAGTTATTCTAATTCGTATTGTAATTTCTACCCTCATTTCTCCTATTTAAATATATATAAATATAAATTCAACTAATCACAGACATGCTCCGCTGTACACTTAACACCTTCCCAGCAACAAGAACTTTAGATATTTATTGTATCATATTGAAAAATATTGGATTACCTTAGTGGTCTATGCGACTTCGTACATATGCAGTGCGTTTTTTGCGACGATCGAATCGATTTCATCAACAACAACAATCTTTCAAGTGAAACCTCTTTAATCATAACTAAAGCAATTCTAAACCATAAAACTACGGTTCGACTGTTTTTCGACATTTCGCATATGAGTAAGCAGGTTCGCTACAAACGCCATAGACGTGTTATGCAGGTGCAGATACCAGTGATCAGTTAGACAGCTAACAGACTGAAGGGCGGTTGGTAGACATGAAGACAAACCTATTTAACAGCTATTTAGATCAGTCATCTTCTCCGTTCGCCTTTTTGGGTCCGCTGCTTCTCTTTCTCTTTCCGTTCGAGCTCCTTTCTTCTCAGTGTTTCCCGGTCGAGCTTGTCTTTTGCCTACGCTCATTTGAATAACAAACATTTAGTGCAAAATAAACAAAGCTTTGGACTGAGATAATACAACAACATTGACTACCAGCCAGCCAGCCGCTCACTGTAGTGACTAGAATATTTTTTTTAACTTCTTTAAACGTCTGTTTTTCTCAAAGTTGGCTTTTATATGGTGTGTACATGTAGAGCAAAAAAACACAAACGCATGCTCTCGCAAATTGGCATCAGTAAAATATGTCAGCTTTCAGTCAGTAATGAGGTCAACGAAATTGGTATTAGCTGACTATAACGTTACCCTCTTAGCTTCCGATTCCTGTTTGCTCTTTTCTCTCTTGAGTTTCTCGGCTTCGAACACAGCCTGTGCATTGGTGTTCTTCATCATGAGGAGGTCTTCCATCGCAGGAGGTCCCTTGCGTTTTGCAGAGGGCGCCGAAAGATCGACTTTCTTGCCGCTTGCCTGCTCCTTCAAATCTCCCTCCTCTGAAGGATAAGGATAAAAAAATTAATTACCACCGAATTGAACTCTTTTTACTATTATTATTATACCGGTTATCATATTATGATATATACCAGTTATTATTATGATTATTATACCCGTTAATAGTAGTAGCTCGAAATTAATTAATGCAATTAACACGTTTTCTACAGCCACTTCCAATTGGGTTTTTTTGCAATCGTTCAGATGTACTTATAGCAACCTAGATATTTTTTTATTAGATAAACGCTAAATTACTTATAGAAAAAAAGAGCAAAATAATCAGTCTCAATAAAGTTGCTAATTTATCAGTGCCTTGTTACACAGTCTATCATCGAGTTGAGCTTATTGCACCTGTTAAATCTAAAAACTAATGCAAATTAAACTTCCAATTATTTTGAATAGGGCTATTTACAACAAGGCAAAGCAGATCTCACTAATGACACTTTCGCCGGTGGGATCAAGATCATCCACCTCGACTTCCACCTGCCCATACTGGTTGAGAATAGAGGACTTCAATTGTTTTACTTTATCGTCCTCTGACGATGCTCCGACCTGCAACAACAAGTATAGCTCAAAAGTTCGCTGCTTGCTAAATCCTGGGTAGCTCATCTGTATATACACCTATTCTAAGAGTACTTTGGTAATGAGATTTTAAAGTAAAAAGAATGTCATGAACTTTTTCTCAGGCTTTTTTCTATTCATCTATAGTTAAGTCGTGGATATGATAAAAGGCTTCCATTTACTCATCAACAATTGAGTTATTATATAAACGTTTACGTTACCAGACAATAAATTGAAAACGATAAATTAAAAAAATCAGAAGATTCTACCAATTCAGATTACTTAACATATCCGTTTGTTTTTTCTGCGTTTCAATAAGCACCTTTTTCCTTCCAGCAGATTCGGCAGCTTTTGCTGTTTGCAGTGAGAAAAGTGATCTCACTTGGTCCTCAAAAGCCATTCCAGCCCCGGCAGCGGACTGAACTACTGGATCAGAGTCGTTAGTTCCTACATTTCAACAGGATAAATACGACAAGTCAAGTATTTACAGAACCCTAAAATTTAAAATCGGCTCCGCGAGCGACGCTCGATTAGTAAAGCCAAAAACGATTTAGCTCTGACTTACTTAGCTCTACTCATACCAGCTACGTTTGATTACATTATACGTAATTTGATTCCTTATTATACAACGGAGTACCAGATCTGATGTTTAATAGGTCAAATATGCACCTTCAGTAGTTGTCCGGGAAAATTTGCTGATAATCTCGTCGGTTTTCGAGCTCACCATTGAGGTGTCCTGACACGCATCGGAAAGAATACCTGCAATCCAATATGAGGACGGTATATAAATCGATATGGAGTCATGGCCTAGTGTAAAGTTTAGTAGTTTAGTTATACAGCTTCCGTACCGAACATTTGCAGAAAAACAGTAATTTAAAATTAAAGTTAATTGGGCAAAATAAATTGATGAATAACCCAGTTTTCTCAAATCGAGCACAATTTCTCATGCGATTACATTTTTAAATTAGTATTTCTAAATAGTACCCCCATGTTTTTGTCGAGCATGTGACAATTTTCTGTATTTCTTGCTATTGATTTCATTTGGTGAAGCAATGGCTAGCTTTAATTATTGTTACAATACTATGCAATTCTAATTTAAATGCCATACTAACGGTCTTTGCACAGACAATTCATTGCTGTCCTTAGCAAAGTGAAGATAAAAGTATAAAACCAGCCTCGTTCTCCGAAGGCTATCTTCTTCCAAAAAACATGCTCTTATATATATATATATATATATATATATATATGAACACGAAAATGATTTATTTTGGTAAAATAAAACCCATACAGTTGAATTGTGTGAACATGCTTAAAAACAAACCCGAGTGCTTATTTTTTATTCCCTATACCGCCGGCCTTCTCAGTTATTCTTTCGCTTCTTTAAAATAAACTTGAGCACTTTAATCTTACCCGCGGTAACCTACCCTCTATAGCTTCAAATTTTTGTTCACGACTTTCGTCTCCCTCGAGGATTCCGTGGATATAACTGGTAAACACGTCAGTATCCACTTTCAGCGAAGCCAGCTGGGTGCACAGCCACTGTTCGAAATTGGACATTTTGTTTTCGTGTTAAGGCCACTACAATTACAAAGCCAATAACAATTTGTAATTTTCAGACAAACCCGAGCCAAAAGTCTGAACTTCGGCTTCCGTAGAAGAACGTGCGTCTTCCAATGAAACTGCAGAGCAAAAAAGCGTGCTGATTGCACCAACGCTTTCGTATTGATGGCGTTATTGTCAAGGATGCTCCACCGATGTGGTGAGCATCCGATGTGTTCGTCTGTCAGAACATGACCACTACGATTATTGCCTCGTGCTCGTGTCAGGGTGCAGCAAAACGCGCAGGGCGCGTGCAGCCCCGGTAGGTACAGCGAAACGGTGGAGAACAAAAATGGAAAATGGCGCCACCTAGGCAGAATTTTCGTCTAGCAGACGATGCGAATATTTCGAATTGTCACTGTGAAAATTTTCAATTATTTCAGGCCGTTTTCGTCGCATAAATTTCTTACTAATTTTATTAACACTAGCAATGGGGAGTTCTGATAAGATGTTGTTTACTTATGAAACATATTCTGTGAGTAAATTGTTGACAGTGACCTTTCAGTCACTGTAAAGGCTGGTTGCTTCTAACAATGATTGGCCAGCCCTTGACCAATGAGAAGCGTTCGTTTCTCACCTGCAAAACGCCCAGGGTTGCCGTTGGTGCGAACTCGTCTCCTGGTACGCTTCGTATGCCGCCAAAGGTCAACGCACTTCGAAAAGGTGTGAGTTTTTTCATTCTCTTTTGTTGAAAGCCAAAGTGGCTGAATGACGGCAGTTCAGTAGGGGGCCGGTTGTGATCGAATGTTTTTGCAGTTGATGCTGCAGAATGAGTGAGAGACAAAGAGAGAGAAATGGGCGAGGATGACGATGAAGCCGAGCACATGCGCTCGCCTGAGTTTGACAGGATCACAATATAAATAGGGTATCGTTGATACCACAGAACATCCATTGCAGTGGAGAGAGTGTGTAATATAATTGTCAGATGTGCGAGGTTGGACCACAATAAAATTGCTACAGCGGTCAGGACTGTCTCACATATGCCATTCCCTGCGTTAACATCTGTTGCTTAGGAGATTTCGACAGTGGTCGTTGACTCTCTTCTTTGTATTACTGCAACCTGTTTAATTTTAGCTGACTGAGGAAAACCGTTTACGTTCGTAAATAAACTTGTTTGACCTTGTTTCGTGTCATAATGCTTAACTATTAATCAGTATACCACGTTTACAACCTAACAAATGTATTTAAATAAAGAGTGCTAAAAATAATCAATACACATTATTATTATTATTGTGTAATTTATCAGTATACGTCGCAGAACAGTTCCGCCGTTTCTTTCAATGAAGTTATACCTGTATGGTGTTTTCGGAGCAGCAATTATACGGAGTTATTGCATTCTCTATAATATACAACAATATATTAATGAAGTCAACCGCATCGACGACAAAGTTATAGCTATATTAGTTGAAGCAAATTCGATAGGATTTCTATATTTAGTATAGTGTGAGATTGCCAATGGAAGATAGCAATTATAGATAAAAAACACAATGCTGCGGTGTACTTGTCAATTTATCTTGAAGCTACATGACCTTATTGTGTCTGCGCGTATATATGTAAGCATTTGTTATTATCTCGTTGTTCTCTAGTAGTTTGCTGTATAGAACATATGATCATACAATCTTTCCTCCGGCTTTAACGCTTGTGTTACGTTGGTTTCGCGCCAAGCCTCCGGTTCAAATCGTACCACGGTGTGGTACGAAAGGGCCGGACTTTAGCTGTGACCACGTGGTACGTTTTGGCTGCGGAGACTCGCAGGAGGCTCGTCTGGTCCATCTCGGTAAGTGAGATTCCGTGGTATCCATCCATATTGCCCCCGTATAGCTGGGCTACGAAGCTCGCTCTTGCGAGAGCAGGTGCGTGACGGATACCAGCTTTAATTATCCCTCGAATTCGTGAACTCGGTTATCCCTGAGAAGTGAGCATGAACCTGGGAGCGGATCAAGTTGGACTGACAAGTCTACTGGCCTGGCTGGTCCCACCGAGTATCTCTACCGGAGAAGAGCTCATCTCGCTGGTTGATCTTCGAAGGCCACTGGTAGCAGCGGTAGCAGTAGTATCAGCGGAAGGCAACCACTGCTTAGCAACAGTGGCTGCCCTGCCGTCGTATAGGGAAGTTAGCAAAGCAGTTCAACCAGTTACTACTATACGATATTTAGAACAGTAACGATACCAAGCAGTTACTGCCTGCCGGAGTTTGTCCAGCACTAGCAGCTGCATAAGTCTATGGTCGTCCATACTCGTGTGCTGTCGAAGTAGCTGAAATAAGCAGTGTTGTGCGGCACGGCGGTGTGACCCTCCTTCAGTTGTGGCCAGCGGCTGGTAGCGGCAAGGCTCGTGTCCAGCTGGTCGGTTCGCCTAAACCCGAGTGTTGGAAGCCTCAATACTTCACCAGTGGTTTACGACTGCAAAGGACAAAAAATCATTCAAAGTGTCCGTGCTTGAGCTCTGTGCCTCAGTGGCTCTGACGGTCTGTCGCTTTGTTTGTCTTCTGTCAGGTTCTGTTTCTCCTCATTTCCGCTGCTTACATAACCCGTATCTACCTGGTGATGGGCATCAATTGGAATTGACGGAATACGACTGCGCCAGTCGGCGTCCAGTGAACCAGCCGGAGACGATTCGTTCGTGAATCGCCGAGATCGAAACGAGCATCCGTGCTGTGCTGTGGAATAAGTCTACCTGCAAAGCGGTCGCCTTGGACTCGCGCGACAACTCCTCATAGCCCGCCGCTCTCCGTAGCCCCCACTACGACCACAGTGTCACTGCCGCTGTTCAACTAGAGAGAAGACTCACCGATGGACTCGCGAGCGAACGGAGCTGACTCGAGTCGATCCTCGGCCGCGGTTTTCCTGGACAGCCTTGCTGGCGGGCCCGTCCTGTTTGGTCTTTTTCCGCCGACCTTCGTATCAGCAGCAGCTGCTGATGGCTGAAAGCTTTCGTCGGTTCGGCCAGGCCGATGTAGTCGTGATTGTTTGCCGCCGTAGTGCTTTCATTGCGACATAAAACCGTGCCTCTTTCCACCGACCAATACATTCGGTGACGGCAGTCGGTTATAACGGGGGGGGGTGTAGGTGGATAGAGATTACCCTGTCGTCCAATATTGTAGAAGTACTTAAAGGCCTTAATAACAACGTACCCGTACTAGCAAATGTGTTTCTACTCATCCTGCCTGTCTGTTTGTTCGTATGTGGGTTAATGGGTGCCTTCAGTCAAGTCAGTATTACGACGATGATCGTGGTCATTCCCGCTTACAAAACCGCCATCTGGTATCTCTTCACTCCTGATTATTCCTATATTTCCTTGTCTAATAAACACCTGCTACTGCTGCTACGTACGCTAGACCGAGACAGTCTTCTATGCAACATTCGATATTAAATTCACCTATCAATCAGCCCTTTTGTTGTCAATCGGATTTAACAGTTGACTGTATCTTTTTTTGCTGCCATTGTTGTCCGTGCCTCGTCTGTCACTCTCCTATTCCCTTTCCTTTCGGCCCGTTGGGTATTTGTTGCCAGTGTCCATTCGTCGTTTGTGCGAGTGTCTCTCTCATTCTACGCGGGTGAGCGACGGGACAGGTACGGTGGGCTTCGTAGGTAGACGGCGATTGCTGTCGCCGCAATTGTTGACGCTTGACGCTTCGTCTGCTACACTGGCACTCTTTGCAGCCAGAACGCGCAGATGGCGCCGGCGCCAGTAACAGTAATGGCCGAAATGGCAACCATCCGCAATGAGCAGGCGGCAGCGTCTTCGTCGCACGGCGGCTGTTTGCTTCGCAGCTTTAGCGATGCTACAACGCGTTTCAGCATCGTCTCCGCCACCGCTGATATGGCTGTCACTGCTGTAACCTGCGACGAAGCAAGACGATATGGTGATAATACTGTTGTGTACCACTGTTGAACTACGTATAGTTATGCGGAGTGACAGGCCTTGCATAGATGATAACCAATTTGATTGTCAGCTAATAAGATGGTGGTATTCAAGGATTACTAGCGGCTGTAAATAACAGGGAACTAATAAATTGAATTTGTCGCTGCATCAGCCACGGCCGATCGCGGTTATTATTATCATCGCGGTAACTGCTTAGCCTAGCACGGTTATCGTTACTGAAGCTGTGGTCATCGGCGTTTCGTTAGACCTTGCCTTAGGAAAAAAAGCGCTATGCAGAACACTCATCGCCGCTAGGAGTTTGAGAACTCCTAACGCTAACATCGTGATTGTCTGTAGGATGGATGGGCTATGCTCACGCCTGCCATCATCTATGCTGGCCCAACGTTAACCGTGCTTCTTATTAGAGCGGCTGCATCACTTAAGCGAAGGTCGCTTGTAATCGCTGCGAAACCAAATACAACCCGCGCAGAAGTGACCGGCAGCAAACTTTTAGATAGATATATAGGCTAACTCGTCGAAACAGATCCTGCCTTTGAGGTGTCAGCTCAGTATGTGTTTTCTGTCTGGTCGCTGTCTAGAAGTGTTACCGCATGAGAGGCAAAAGTGCCAGGCAGAATAGGAAAAGCAATGGGGCCGACCGGAAGCCACTGTTTCGGTAGGCAAAAGAACCTGGACATTTTAAGATTCACGGAGAGTAACCCGAATGCAAACTCACCACTTCTACAACTTTTATATGTCCAGAGAACACGCACAGACATTGGACTGCAAGGCACTAATCTAATTGACTGATTGGCTCATTGCGTGGTGGCAGCAGCACGCAATTTCAATAGCAGCGCTAAGGATCACGTTGTTTTCGGAGACTTTACGGGCCGAATACGGGCCCTTCAGTGAGCGGCCAGAAGAGTTGAGTGTGAGTGTCTAGTGTGAGTGTCTGGGAGTTTTATGTACAGATGAAGTTTAGCCTGCGTGCGTGTATGTATGAAGATTTGAAAATTAAGTAAATGGGACGTGGTATTAGGCTTTAGGCTTGAAGCTCGGCACAACCTATCGTTTTCTGTTACATAAAAATGCACAGTACCTACTTACTGCAAGAAGTGCTTATGGGTGGTTTTATATGGTTAGTTTTGTCCTGCGTTGGTCGGACGGTTGGTGCGTTCTTGGCCTTTGCTTTACCGTCATCAGCCTACCGATAAAGGCAAACATCGAGCCGTGGTGGTGCTTGTTGAGCGTTTGTTTAGTGGTTCGTGTACGCCAATCGGGGCACCTTATCTGACCAAAACCGCCCGCCCGCCCGCCCGCCCGCCCGCTTGCTGTGCGTTTGAAGGAGATCGAATGAGGTTATATGTACCTGTCCCTATGTGGCCTATGTATAAGGCCGGGCGCCATCTAGGCACGGATAGACACTAGGTTCGTAACAAGTGTCAACCTCTTGCAGTATATTCTTATTACATAATAATTTGGCGACAAAGTTCATACACAACTTAGACGCCGTTGTCATTCTTCGTAAAACTGAGACCTGTCATTGATATAGCAGAACCATTTTCTGCTGTTTGTTAGAATCAGAAGGAGCAAATCTACACAGTTGATGGAGACGTTGTTTTGACTTGATCGATAAAAAACTAGCTCAATAAAAGGTGCAATTGCCTTTATGCTAAGTACAAGTGATATGATGCTGCGTACATAGATCTATTTGCTGTTACTAGAATCACCGTTTAAAAAGTAGAAAGCAATTGCCAACTTCTCCGCAGATCCGATCCGCCAGACTACGCAAGGTTCTTTGTCTGTTATGCCGACTAAAATTATGCCAGCGACTATGCGAGGAATCCGCGTGACACCCTGAGGCGTAGATGGCCCGAATGTTATGAATCGCTGGGCAGGAGGATCGGCCTTACTGTTAATGCCGCCTCACTACCTGTAGTGTCGCAGCTAATATTCACAATGTTATCGTGATCTCTCCTCGACTCTTTATTTTCATTTCTTTTTTAAGAATGCTCACTTGGGAAGGCCGCATTGAGTTCAAGGGGGCATCGCATTGACCGCGTCTGTGTCAAGATAGACCTTCACATATATCTCGCGTGTGTATTTGCGTGCCAAAATGAAACCGCCATCGGCTTATACAGTTCGGAAGTAATAGCTATTCCCGTGATAGACAAATAATTGATTGACAGATTGCGAAAAAGACGTAGAGTAAGGCTTAACAAACGAGCTACTCTCTGGTATTACTAAAAATGCCAAACGCGATGCCGTTGTTCCGTTACGATTCTGTTTTTTTTCTTCTATCTGTTTGCTCTGGGTGACAGACGCAGGTTTTGCTTCGCTTTTTTGTGCTGTATCCGCAGCAAACATGCCCATGCGTCTAAATGAGTATACTCACAATTGTGAGTAATGAAGTAAAATTGAGAATTATTACTATTAATATATATTGTTTTTTTTTTTATTACGTTTCTATTCTCACTTTTTGTATTCTCTCCTTGTGTTGTCATGTCGTCGGATGTTTTTCGCTCGTCTTTCCTGATACTGATCTACGTATGTGTGCGCCATGTGCATTGTGTACTGTGCTCTCAACTTTGACTGCGACAATTCTTGTTAATGGTTGCCACTCGACGATACCAACGACAACAACGCGACGACAAAAATAATTACTATTACAGGTGCGTGGAGCAGGTGTGTTGAGGGAGGATCGGCAGGTGGAGGCGTCGGCGAGGAAGGAGTCAGGAGTGGTAGGCCTGCCGCAGGAGTGAGGTTGAAGAGAAGTTGGTTGAAGTTGGTTGACGGATAGTACAAGGAGATTAAGGAAACGTGAGTGACGAAAGGAACGAGAGGGGAAAGCGACGACGAGGTTTTAAAGAGCACCTGAAAACAGCGTGTAGATAGTTGAAGTGTGTGTTAAAGTAGGAGCATCCGTTTACGGGTGCGGTTGTAGCTCTTGCATTCGATGGTTGCGTAATCAGAAGTAAGAAAGAAAAGCAACAAGAGCAAGAGGAAAAGCCGAAAAAAGGGCCTGGACGCTGGTTCGTTGTCCGAACGAACTTAGAAGTGAAAGGTGCTGGAAGGTACTTGGGAATTGTTATTCATTGTTACCAGCTTTTCAACTCAGTCTGAGAACGGTATAGTTTTGAGTGAGCAACTGACAACGTCACGTGGCGTTGCGAGGCGAAAAAACAGCAATAGACGGCCAAAACCACGGTTGCAACGGGGGAAAAAAGCGGATACTTGCGCGGATAGTGGAAACCTAGCACAACGGGAAGGGAGTGCACCGTCCAATATCGCGAAGAAAAAGACAACGGTTATATTATCGTTATAATATCGTAGAAAAAAGATACATAATGAGCGGAGGCAGTGAGTGCTATAGGTGCCACCGTACGGGTCACTTCGCCAGGGAGTGCTCAATGCCAGATGAAGGCGAACGCTCCCGAGGCCCTCGTGGAGGTGGAAGGGGTGGTCGTGGGGGTGGTGGACGAGGAGGCTTCCGCGGCGGGTTCCGCGAAAAGTGCTACAAATGCAACCGGCTGGGCCACTTTGCCAGGGACTGCAAGGAAACCGAGGACCGCTGTTATCGTTGCAACGGTACAGGACACATCGCTAAAGATTGCCAGCAAGGTGAGTATATTAGAAGCAGAAGCGAATTAATTTGGTGTATGCATCTAGCCAAGTTTTACGAACGCCTAGAGCCAGACCAACGTCTCAACATACGTGGACATTGTTTTACATACCCCGATCTCTTATCGTCTAATTTGTACAATTACTAGCGAATTTATGATTTTCTGATCTGTTAAAATTGATGAGATGAGTGAAGATTGATATCTCGCATCAACATGACGGTGCAATTCTTTGTTATCGGCGCGGAATTCACTCTATCAAAATTCATCTGGTATGGCTTGGTATCAGTGAATGATCGTTTTGAATTCAAAGTGTCTTTTTTCTATCACGTTCTAATTCATTGGAAAGTATGGTTAAGCAGAGTTAATATCGTTTTTTTTATCTTAAGAAGCATGTGATTTACATTGGCTTCCGTGGCCTGTACATAGATTTAAATTTGAGTGACACCGCATTATAGGTAATGAGCCCATTACAGCTTATTGCCGCCAACATCTTCTACGTCCTTCACAATGCTAAAATATGTTTTTATGTGAATTCCTTACCATAAAGGATTCTACATGCATATACACTCTACGCCAAAATGTTGGTCTTCTCAACGAAGTTAAGACATACTTATATGAGCATCTTGGCCGATGCTTGCTATCACATCGTGTCACCTACCAGATGTCTGTATAATGACACTGATATTAGACAATAATTGCATTAGACCCAAGCATGTCATATACACACACGTACAGTACATAGAACTTTATGATTACTGTAAAAAGTACGTGCATATATCTAAAGAAATAACGACACAAATGGGCGACTAAACACGAGAATCACTTGTGCCCCTATCACGGCCTATGGTGTGACGTTGATGCTGTTGTTAATACATTTACTTGGGGTCGTTCCAATCTCGTCTGCCTTAAGTGCCGCCGTCAGCTGCCTGCTATAGGTCTAGTCAAAGCAGCAAACTTGAATGGCCAATAGGAGCAGTACTAATAATGGTAGAACTCCCTGTAGCTTGGTATATCTTTGTTTTGTAGCGCGTGTGCAGCGATCTGGACGGCCCCTACGACAACAGCAGTCATAGTTAGATTCACCATCTGTTTATTATTGGCGCCAAATTGTGCACGCGTATTCGGCAGCGTGTTCACTATTCTACCGCGGCCACCCGCAATGACACCTCAATGACGATCTTGGTGTGGGGTCGTTTTGTATGCTGCTCTCGCGGAAGCCGCCGCCGCCACCGCTACCACTATCACTTTGTTAAAGCATCTTTATTACGTAAAAAACTCTTTGACGCAAAAAACGTAAATCTCATAATGCTTTAGTACTTGCATGGCAATGTGTATATATCAATGTTTGTGCATATACATGCGTCTGTATGGACTAAAAGGGTTCCATCTCTTTCTAGCAGTTGAAGAAACAACAGAATCGAAGATTGTGGTACGCCGTTATCGCCAGTAGCAACTTTAAAAACAATCAAATCTAGCGCTGTAGCCTTTAAGCGTGGTGTTTGGTGTCTGTGCGCGTGTGAGCGTTCGAGAGCGACTACTTCTGCCACCAGCGCTTACCATGTCACCGTTATCACTAGTAGCACCAAAGCGTTGCTCTATATCGCGCTGCAACATACATTATACACTTTACGGTACATAATGACTGGTTAAGTGAAAACAGCAATTAAAAATTGATCCGGCTTTCGACTGTCAATCACATGAAAAGCAATATTTCTGATCTAGTGTCCGCATTGGCCGTCCCTCCCTTAATGTCAGCTGTCACAAACAACCTCCACTGTCACAAACAACGCCACTATAATTACTATTTGTTCTCACAGGTCTAGCCCAGTACTATGTGGCTCTTTTTCGCTTCTCATTCTCTCCCGGTATAAATGCGCAGTTTTGCCGCTTGTTTCCTGTTCATTCATTTACTACCAATTTGTTCGTTTGTTGAGATTAGGTGTCATTTCGGTCTGTTCGTCTATAAATAACCGAAAAAAGAAAACAAAGTCTTGAATTAGACTTCGTCCAAATAAGATTAAGCACTGAATAGCTCTTACGCCCAGCCTAAAATGTCCGATGGGCAGTAAGGGGAGTGAATATTTTGTTGTGTTGTCATTAGTTAACTTCACGCGTTCTCACGAGCATGTCTTAACAACTGGTTACTTGCACATCTTCGATAAGGGAAAACCTAGCCTGTTCATGTTTTTCGATCCGTTCTTATCTCCCTTATATATACATTAACATGTTCGCCAATACGTGACGAGTACAAGTCTTATCTACAACCTATAAATTTATAGTTGCCGGGAGAACCGTAGTAGTAGTTGATAATATGCAATACAAACGGGCATGCAGAAAACCGTCAGTGAAAACTCACCATATGATGCAGACGTTTTCGTCTGTAAACATAGTAATGTAGCTATATTGCAGACAGCTGTGCAGCTTGGAATAAAAGCTAGTGTTTCCACAAATGTTGTTGTTGTTGGTTTATTCTGCTGTGTAACACATACGCATGCACAGCGCTTCTAGCAGGTCTGACTCTGGTATAGCAGTATGCAATGGTGGTACCACGCATCCTGGGTATCTGGGTTCGTTATTTGTTCTAATTATTCATTGTTATTGTTTTTGTTAGCTTAGCAGCGGTTGCGGCTGGCCTTGTCTTGCGACAGCAGCGTGCTTGAATTTGACCGTATGACAAAGGCGCAAAAGTCAGCAGCCTAAGAAGCAGTAGCAGCATTCACGTTTTTTTGGTACATTATTACTGAATCAATATTTTCCTCGATTACTACATCGTTCTGAAAGTGTATATTCAGAATTATACAATGCTGCACTCAAATGTACACGCCTGTTGTGTGTGCGTATCTGTTATTCTTTGCATTACATTACGCAACTCCATATTTTAAAAACTTCTAATCATAGATCTCTTAGTTTCCCGGGGAGCTGTGCAGAATTCTGTTCCCATCGTATATCCCGCCATGCTATATCAACTTTCCTGGCAGGAATTGTCTTGCCCGTAACCTAAACCCTCTATTTGGGAGCGAACCAAACGACTTATCAAATGAGTGGCCAGTTAGACACCGGCTAGTAGATTTGCTAGTCAAAGGTTACAAGCGATTATTGCCTAGGTCCTGTTCTCCAAATCATTGTTGTTGTCCTTGTTGGGTCGTTCTAAGCTTTTCCTGCAGAAACAGTCACCGCACAAGCAGCGGCAAAAAAAGCTAAGATGCAAGCTTTGAGGATTACGCGGATGTTGTATGTGTGGGCGTATCTATTTACGGATGGTACTAGGGACAGCGGAATGTAGAGCCGTAACAAAGCGAAGGATGACTTGTATACGTACATAACCGATAGCTTAGAGAGCTATGGTAAGCAGTCTGAGGAGTACAACGGCTCGCGGGTTCATACCTGACACTTCGATAGCGTCCACTGCTTCTGTACTCCTCTATGGAGCCACTGCGGACTCTGCTCGAATTCATAGTTGTATGAAGCAGAGCTTGTGTGACGGGGTGACGCACGGAAAAAAGAACCACCATGGTATGCAGCTGAATAAAACATGGCCGAAAATAGTGCCCATTTTACTCAAGGCTCGAGCTTTTATTGATTGTTGGTTTTGGTGGAACCGCTGCTGCCTTTCCGCTGATGTCGCCAGCCCTGTCGCCTCAAGCTAACTAGAGCTGTTATTGCCGCTTGGATTTTTGAATCTGGCTTATCCAACGAATGGTGTATGTCCAACGGTTGCCAACTATGCCTCTCTTAACCTCTAGTTTTTATGAAGTAACCTCTTTCATGTCGTATTAAAAGGAATATTCGTGTGGCAGCTAACGCTGCTTCGTCCTAAATAAATAAACCGGTGTTAAATTTTTTAAGCGGATACAGATTCAGTTCATATAATTCGTCTATTGCAGAGATATATATATTTATATTTATTATTACTCAATTATCCACTGCTATTGAACACTAAGCCTTCGGGTAAACCGTCATTGCGCTGATTTTTTGCTTGCTTCTTCTTGGCAACATTGTCGTGTGCTAAAGCAAGTCCCGAGTTACTATCCGTTCAGATAGAACAACTCGTTAAGATTTTTTTTTATAAATATCAATTTCGCAATCGGTTTCCGCCATCGGTCGCGGTGCTGAAAAGAAGGTGTTCGTGGGTAATTGGCTGGCACCTACAGGCAAGTCCGTGAAACAAGTACCTGTTTATTTGTAGACCACATGAATGTTTATGATAAATTACTTTATGATCATAGGTGACTTTTTTGGAACATGACTTACATTCTGGCATCTTTCCATTGCCGCTACACATAGCTGCTTCTCGCGGTTATTTAAAGTGGGTACCGACGAACAGCTGTAGGATGCCTATTGGCTGGTATATGATATAATACTTTAGTTCTGAGATCCATCAATGGTACGGGAGTAACGTGCTTGCCTGCTAAAATTAAAAACACGTCATTTTTCTCATTCGAAACCGGCTGTAGGCATATTTTGCTTTGCAAGCTGGAAGCTGCCAGCCTCCTGAAGCAATGTTTAACGACAGCATGGGACGTGTAACGTTGTAGTAATGTTTTTAACTGTTGTTAAGCAAAAAAGCAAGAGCATATAAGAAAACCGGTATTCTCGGCCCATCCGAGGTTAGAGACTCGATATTTAAGATTTAATCGATGTTTGCTTGTCACCTTATAGTCCAATAAAAGCATTTCCTCGCATGTAGGGTACGGTATTTTTTAAAAAGTCTATTTTTGCTGATCTTTGATCCTGCTAACTTTGTATAACTAATGAATCCGTGTTGTTTGGTGTTCGTAATATCCAACAACTTTCTGTGCTGCTGCAAAAGTACTTAAGATCATAAAGTGTGTATTCAAGCGGGTGACTTTAATGTTTATTGTTGTGCTTTAGAAGGTAAGAGCTATTCTCCTATTTTGTATATAGAATAATGCTAAAACAGAAGAAGTTACTTTTTTCATAAAGGCATAGGCAAATCAGTTAAATTGAGTGAACAGTTTTTGGTGGTCGTTACATACC